AAGCTAGAAACAATAATGCCAAACTAGTGTTTGATAAAATGCTCACATGAGCTGAAAACATGAATATCCTCCTAATTTGTGTTCAATTTTGCTATGTCTCTAAATAGATCAAAGTTGCTAGGATTTTCAGAACTGTGTAGTAAATTAAGGAAAGCTAAAAGCGAGGTATAAATTCTAAACTCTTCTTCTAGTGTCAGAATTCCCGAATTCTTGTAAACTTCTATCATGTGTAGTCGAACTTGAAATGCTATTGATGTGGGGTATTCAAATAGTAAAATTGATTCCCGATTGGCATAACATGTTAGAACCTTCGTGTGTTAATGATTCTCTATTTTTGACTTAGTTATGTTATACCCCCTTTTGGGAAGAAGATCTTGTATGAAATCAATGTGATTAAACACTTATTTCTCACATGATGAAACCTTATGAACTTACACTTGCTAAGGCCAAAGGTGCCAAATGGTTGATTTAAAAGGGAACTCTCTTGTACAAACTATTATCATTTTGGGAATCCGAAGTATGGCATAGTGAATACACCTCCACCCGCATACATTGGGGTGAGGCGGCGGGGCCACTTTGTGTAGAGTTGTGTTATTGTGAATACACCTCCACTCGCATACATCGGGGTGAGGCGGCAGGGCCTCTTTGTGTAGAGTGTGTGGCATGGTGAATGCATCTCCACCCGCATACATTGGGGTGAGGCGGGAGGGATGCTTTGTGTAGAGTTTCTAGTATTGTGATTGCACCTCCACCCGCATACGTTGGGGTGAGGCGGCATGGCCGCTTTGTGTAAAGGTAGTTGTAGAGGATCCCTGACTTATGAATTTATAAATGTTATTGAAAGCTCTTAAAAAATTTGCTATGGATTTAACAACTAACTAAGTCTTCTATTGTTACCATGAATCATAATATTCATGTTGTATTTCTAAGTCCTTGCATAGGTATTTGGTTTTTGTACTAGTACTATTCGACATGTACTAACGTCCCATTTGCCGAGGGCGCTGCATCTTTAATGGATGCAGGTGGTTCCATAGCAGGTGGTATTAATCAGTGATAGCAGCACCCCCTCTCCTCAGCTGACTTGGTGAGCCCCACTTCATTCTGGGGTCCTGTATCTCTTGTAATCGTATCATCTGTTCCACTTTAACTATGATTGTATAATGTACTATTTTGGAGACTTGTTAATGATGTAACTAATGAACATGAACTGGTGATATTCTCATGACCTCTTACTGTCTAATTAATGAAAGGTATTCTCCTCTTTATTTTTGGGTGAGTTGGGTAGAAGGTATTGTAAAGGCTTGCTTGACCAGGGTATCTCGGTTGAGCACCGGTCGCGCTCCCCGAGGTCGGGGCATAACACAATCGCTCAAACAACCCCACACTTATTCACTAGCATATACTAGTGTCGCTCGGTTACTCAGACTTCGCTGGCGCCTAAATTTACCTCTCAGACATTTTGTCGAACATGTAGGATGCAACAATTTGGCCTAGTGTTTTCTAACTATTGAGCAATTCAAATACCCTCACAAAATTAACGAGATGAAGGGATTTATAGTTTATCATCTCTCACTCATCAACAACCAATAGTGGACAGCAACAAGAACCTCGAAAGTTTTTAAGTCCCTTTTTTTAATGTTCATGTGAGAGAAGACTTGTTGAAACTTAATATAGGGGAATTGGGTGGGATTCTGCCACCTTACAAAGAGGATAGAGAGAAGAGAGAGAAAAGACGAGGATGAAGAAGCACGTACCTGTTGCGTTTGAGGTGAGGCAGTGGTGGTGTGAGGGAGGGGAGTTGCGGTGGTTTCAAGTGGGTATAAGAGGAAGGGTTTGGGAAGAGGAATTTTGGGGGGTTTAGGCGTGTGAAGTGTTAAAATATAACACTTACCTGTGTGCACGAGCTCGGACGCAACACATCACAGTTAATTCTCCAACCTTTTGCACGGATGCTGCTGTGGGCGCTATGGGCAGACTTCATTGCCTAGCGCAACTTGCCCTCTAATTTTTAGCGCTCTGGGGGATGCGACGCATCCACCCTGTTTTCCCAAACCCAGACCTTCTTTTTTTTTTTTTTAATTTTTGATAAATACATACACAAATTAATTCCTAAAAAAAAGTAAAATAATTAAGGAACTCCCAAAAAAAATAAAAATCAAAAATACAAAAATGAATGGGAGAAATTAGTAAACTACGAAAATAAAAGAAAATGCTTAGGTTGCCTCCCAAGAAGCGCCTCATTTAACGTCGCGACACGACACAACACGTTCTTCACGCATCCTTCAGTGCAATTGAGTACTTGTGATGATCCATGTCACCACCTCAATACTGCTTGATTTTTTGCCCATTAACCAAGAACGTTCTCTCGGAATTTGTCGCTCTTAACTTTATAGCCCCGTATGGTGTCACACGCACTGTTTCAAAAGGTCCAGTCCATCTCGACTTTAATTTTCCAGGAAACAACTTCAACCTGGAGTTGAATAGTAATACCAACTGGCCCGGCTCGAAATGGCGATGCTTGATGTGCTTGTCATGCTACCTTTTGGTCTTTTCTTTATATAGCTTGGCATTCTCATATGCATTTAGCCTGAATTCATCTAGCTTATTGAGTTGGAGAATCTTTCCTCACCGGCCAACTCCATATCCATATTGAGCTTTTTGACGGCCCAAAAGGCCTTGTGTTCTAGCTCAACTGGAAGGTGACATGCTTTTCCATGTATCAACTTGTAAGGCGAGGTACCAATATGTGTCTTATATGCAGTTCTGTACGCCCATAGAGCATCATACAACCTTGCAGCCCAATCTTTCCTATTTGCACTGACCGTTTTCTCCAAAATTTTCTTTCTTTCTGTATTCGATACCTCTGCTTGCCCACTCGTCTGAGGGTAATATGCGGTGGCAACTCTATGCTTGACTCCGTATTTTGCTAGAAGGTTGTTCAAAAGTCTGTTGCAAAAATGTGTACCTTCATCATTTATCAGAGCTCGATGAGTCCCGAAACGTGTAAAAGTATTCTTCTTGACAAAATTAGCCACCACCTTTGCATCATTAGTAGGTAAAGCAATGGCCTCCACCCACTTAGACACATAGTCCACTGCTAACAAGATGTATTTGTTTTCTCTAGACGATGGGAATGGTCCCATAAAATCGATCTCCCAAACATCAAAAATCTCTACCTCAAGAATGTTCGTAAGCGACATCTTATTTTTTAGTGATTTTTCTAGTTCCCTGACACCGATTACCCTTCTTCACAAATGAATGGGCATCTTTAAATAGAGTCGGCCAATAAAATCTCGTCTGTAGAACTTTTGTAGCTGTTCTATCACCACCATGGTGCCCCCCATAAGGTGCAGAGTGACAATCATACAAAAGCTGCTCCACCTCCTTCTCCGGAATGCATCTCCCCATTAGTTGGTTAGCACATTGCCGATACAAGAATGAATCATCCCAAAAATAGTAGTTTATGTCATGTAGGAATCACTTCCTCCCTTTAGGTGGCATTTCTGGAGGAAGTACTCCGCTCACTATGAAATTTACACAATCTGCATACCATGGTGGCGGATCATGTATGACTGCAAAGAGTTTCTCATCTGGGAACGTCTCCTTTATCACCCCTCCTTTTTCCACATGTTAATGATTTTCTAGCATTGACAAGTGGTCAGCCACCTGATTCTCTGTGCCCTTCCGATCATGGATTTCCAAGTCAAATTCCTGCAAAAGAAGTACCCATCTAATTAGTCTTGGCTTAGAATCTTTTATTGAAATTAAATACCTGATCCCCGCATGATCCGTGTACACGATCACATGTGTTCCTACTAAGTAGGACCGAAACTTGTCAAAATCATAGACAACTGCCAACAGTTCTTTTTTCGTCATGGTGTAATTGAGTTGTGCATCAGTTAGGGTCTTGCTGGCATAGTAGATTGAATGAAACACTTTGTTCTTTCTCTGTCCAAGCACAACCCCAATTGCTATGTCACTCGCATCACACATCAACTCAAAGGGCATACTCCAGTCACGTGCGATAATGATTGGCACAAACACCAACTTCAACTTCAGCTCCTCGAATTTCTTTAGACAGGCATCATCAAACTTGAATGCAACATCCTTTTCTAGCAACTTGCACAAGGGATTAGCAATTTTTGAAAAATCTTTAATGAAATATCTATAAAAACCTGCATGTTCCAAGAAGCTCTGGATGCCCTTAACATAGATAAGTGGTGGTAGTCTTTCCATTTCCTCCACCTTGGCCTTATCGACTTCAATACCAGCACTATCTGCACAGGAAGCATCTTTAGCAAATCAAATCAGCAAGATGAACATGACCCAGAACCAACATCAATTTACACCAATGCAACAGGTTCAACCAGTAGAGCAGGTGCAGGTGTTTTGCGAAGTCTGCGGCGAGGGTCATACCAGTGATGCCTGTCCAGCGAATCCAGTATGGTAATACTTATAATCCAAATTAGAGGAACCACCCAAATTTCTCATGGGGAGGAAATCAAGGTAATCAGAATCAGTTCAAACCATAAAGTCAATACTAATAGTTTCGGCCACCACAAGCATATCAATCCGCAAATTGGATGGGTAATATTGAGGAGATGCTCAAGAAGATTATGGCTACTAATCAGAATCAAGCTATTGCTATTCAAAATTTAGAGCGACAGATGGGGCAACTCGCCAGTGCCCAGAACACCAGACCAGCAAGAGCATTACCTAGCGACACTGAGGCTAATCCTGAGGACCCTATTAGTGTTGTGTCATTGAGGAATGGCAGAGAATTAGAAGAAGTCCCATCGAATAAGAGAAAGCAAGTGACATTTAGTAAAAAATACCCCATCGAATCGGAAACTGCAAAGGAGTTGGAGAATCCAATTAAAGAGGTCATGGCAAAGCAACAACAACCAATAGTTGCGAAGCCACCCCCTTCATTCCCTTAGAGATTGTAGAAAGTGAAAGATAATGCAGCGTACAAGAAGTTCCTTGATATTTTAAAACAGATGCAGATTAAAATTCCAATGGTGGACATTCTGCAAGAAGTGCCAAAGTATGCAAAGTACATCAAGGAAATTGTGGCAAACAAGCACAAACTAACTAAGTTCGAGACTGTAGCACTCACTGAGGAGTGTAGTTCCAGAATTCAGAATAAGCTGCCTCCTAAATTGAAGGACCCAGGAAGTTTCACAATTCAAATTTCAATTGGAAAATATGTGGTTGGGCGAGCATTGTGTGATTTTAGATCAAGCATAAACCTGATATCGTTGTCTGTATTTCGACAGCTAGGCTTGGGATATCCTCGACTGACTACAGTGGTATTGCATTTGGCTGATATATCATTAGCCAGCCCCGAGGGAGTCATTGAAGATGTGTTGGTCTAAGTGGGAATATTCATATTCCCAGCTGATTTTGTCATCTTGGATTACGAGCCTGTCAGGAAGTCCCATTTATTTTGGGACGAACATTTCTAGCCATGGGTCACGCAATTATTGATGTATGTGAAGGACAAATGACCATGAGAGTGGGTGACAAGATGGAGGTCTTCAATGTATACCGAGCACTTAAATTGCCAGCACACTACGAAGATTTGGCCATGATCACAATTGTAGATATTGAATTGGCAAGCATAACACCATACATGGTGTCTAAAGATCCTTTGGGAAGAGCTTTAATTGATGAAGAAGAAGAGGAGGATGAGCTGGTGGAAGAAATTGTACAAGTTTTGAACATGACATGCCAGTATGTCAATAGGTTGAAGAGATTTGAGGAAATCGATAGGCCATTGACATTAAACAACCTAAACCATCGATTGAGGAGGCTCCAAAGTTGGAGCTCAAGCCTTTACCTTCCCATCTGTGATACGCATACTTAGGTGTCTCGGAATCCTTACCTGTGATCATCTCATCTTCATTATCATATGTGCAAGAGGACAAGTTGTTGCGGGTTTTGAGGGAACGCAAAGGGGCCATTGGTTGGACTATTGCCGATATTAAGGAAATTAGTCCATCATTTTGCATGCATAAAATATACCTGGAGGATGGACACAAACCAGGTGTGGAGCAGCAGAGACGATTGGATCCTATTATGAAGGAGGTGGTAAAAAAGGAGATTATCAAATGGTTGGACGCGGGGATCATATTTCCTATTTTCGACGGTAATTCAGTGAGTCCTGTGAAGTACGTGCCGAAAAAGGGAGGCATGACAGTTGTGGAAAACGAGCAAAATGAGTTGATACCTACCAGAACGGTGACGGGCTGGAGGGTATACACTGATTACAGGAAACTCAATAAGGCTACGTGCAATGACCACTTCCCTCTCTCTTTCATTGATCATATGTTGGACAGGCTAGCCTGATGAATATTATTGCTTTCTTGATGGTTACTCCGGTTACAATCAGATAGTGATAACTCTAGAAGACCAGGAAAAGACAACATTTACTTGCCCCTATGGCACCTTTGCCTTTAAAAGGATTTCATTCGGGTTATGCAATGCACCGATGACTTTTCAAAGGTGTATGATGGCCATCTTCACCGACATGGTGGAGAAATTCGTGGAGGTGTTCATGGATGATTTTTTAGTCTTTGGGTTGTCCTATGATAATTGTCTGAAGAACTTGGAGTTGGTGCTAGCACGCTGTGAGGAAACTAACCTGGTACATAATTAGGAGAAGTATCATTTTATGGTTCAAGAAGGTATTGTATTGGGAAATCGAGTGTCCGAGCAAGGAACAACATCCAATTCAAGTACCCCGATAGCTTTATGGGTTGTGTGTCTGCCTGCTTCCCCTTACCAATCCGGGTTGCTTTTGGAAAACTTGTTCAACAATGCGTAGATCTCATCAAAGCTCTTTTCCAACACTTGACCACCAGCTGTTGCGTTTGCCACTAGTTTTGTTTCAGGGTGCAGACCTTCAATAAGAGTGTGAGCCAGTACCTCGTTGGTTTGGTTATGGTGTGGACAGTCTCTTAGTAATCCTTTGAATGTGAGGTTGCATAAAGTGACTCACCTTCTCTCTGTTTAGACGCAACTATCTCACTTCTTATCTTTGCGGTTTTACCAAAAGGAAAAAACCTAGCCAGGAATTTGCGAGCCAAATCATTCCACGATGAAATAGAGTTAGCTGGCTCAGACTTCAGCCATCTCTTGGCCTCTCCCAACAGAGAAAAAGGGAACACTGTGAGCCTGACATAATCAGATGTGACTCCGTTAGTGATATAGGTATAACTAATCTCTAGAAAATTTAGAATATGTTGTTGGGGGTCTTCGTGTGGAATTCCCATGAATTGTCCATTTGGATGAAGTAGCTGGATCATGCTCTGCTTAAGCTCAAAATGCCCAGTGATCCTAGGCTTAACGATACTTGAGGTGACATTAGCAATGCTGGGCATAGCCACCTCTTGTACCGCCAATGGGTGCTCTTCCGCCATTTCCACATGAAGTTGGATGAGTGTTTGTAAATTATTTGCTTCTCGAGGTTCTCTCAACCTTCTATGAAATGCTCTCTCAGGTTCTGGGTCAAAATCTTGTAGTCTATCCTGGCTTCTAACCAGACGCATTCAAGTAAAGTACCTGAGATCAAACACCCAGCCTAAAAGAAGATTAAAAGAAAACTAAACTCGATAAGTAGTAAAAGCTTAATGTAGTAAAATAATCAATTTCTAAGTCCTCGGCAATGGCGCCAACAACTTGTTGCCCAAAATCGCACACTCAAGTATACTCGGTCAATCAAGTAATAAAGAGTGAGTAGAGTATCATTCCCACGAGGGCATGTGATTAATTATCAACTGAATCAAGCGAATTCTAATTTATCGAGTTAAGAACAATTTCAAGGTTGTTTTTGTTCGATTAATTCTACTAATTATAATTGCAAGTAAACGAAAAACTAATGAACTAGCACACTTAGCACGAAGAATTTAATTCAATGAGAAATAATATTCCAGGGTTATGGCTGGCTAACAATCCTGTTGAATTCTTCAATCGACTCGACTCATTATTTTATCTGGATTATTAACCTGCAAGGATAATAATACTCGTAGAAATTTGACAACTTCTACTCGCCTATTCAATTTATTCTAAACTATATATTTCTATGAGATTAGAGATAAACAGAATCCATTAACAATTTCTTGCACAAGTGGCTGAGCACGGCGAATAGGTATATTTCTATCCGTATTCGCGAATCAATTCCTCAATGACTAGGTTCAAGATCGCGCTCTATTCACTCATATTGCAATCGAGAATTACCTCTTACAAGTTCAACTGAAGATTCATACATAGTATTTCACTGTTAGCTAGCAGTAAAATAATTAAACTCAGGATATGAATAAACAACCCAATATGATAAATTAACTCATCAAATCAATATTCGAATATCAATATTCATGTAAAACCATAACCCCAGAACGGATGAGTTTAGCCACACATAATCATGGTAGCAATCTCAAATAATTCCCACGAGTACATACAAATCAATAAAAGAAGGACAAAGTAAGAACTCAAGATGAATTCCGTGGTTTCCAAACTTTATGATGGCTTTTCTCCGCTTCCCCGTGTGTCGGATGACCTAAAAGAGGCATTTTTCGCTTATATATTATGTACACAAGTCGTAGGCCAAAGTTTTCCTTTTCCTAATCCGACTCATAATCAGGGATTGATGTTGGGGTGGATGCTTCGCGTCCGCTTCAGCTTCAACTTCTCAGCATCGCATGCTGGGGTGGATGCTTCCCATCCACCCTCTGTTCCTTCATCTTTGTTGTGCCCAGGTGCGAATGCTTAGGCGGATGGCTTAGCACGACTTCACTGCTAAGGGTGCACCAAATATAATTTTTTCTAGGTTGGATATGACGCATCCACTCTCTTCTCCTATAGTTGGAGCACCTTTTCTTCATATTTTTGCACTCCAAATACCCTAAATCATCACACACAACTCAATTAGTCATAAAACCAATAATTAACACATGTTGGGTATTTTAAACACCAATAGCACCAAAACGTGGATAAAACATGGGTAAAAGTAATATTTAAACATATAGAAATATGCCCAACATCAGAACGGCGAGCTTATTTTATATTAAAACGGGCAGCATCTCCCCTATAATCTTTACTTCCTCCCAATTCGAGATAACACCAACAACACAAGAAAATAACTATAACAACATATATACAATATGTTCCAACCTTATATTCACCACAAAATACTACAAAATAGCCCAACACACCCCAATCTCTTCATACACAAAATGACCACAGTAGTAGTGTCAAACAACCCAAAAATATTATGACGAACGACCAGCCCATCACCCTGCATTTATGTGGTGTTTATCCACCTCTTTATCTTACAAAACTCCCTAAAATAGTATCAAAACACGCAATCCATCAGCAACATGAAACAGCCCAAAATAATAGTCCACTACAAGTTGAATAACTCGAACTCACGGCTTCCGATCACCATTCCTTGAGTTCTTACAATTATAGAACATATTTCCATACATTTATAACATAAAAAATAGATGAAAGAGAGCAGTAAACTTACCTTATTTGTTGAATATCTCAGCTCCTATCTTGGTTCTTCAAACCCTAAGTTTTCCTCCAACTAGAACTTGAAAAGTAGAGAAAATCAATTAGGGTTTGTGTTCAATTTTTGAGAGGATTTTTGTAGGGGCTTATCTCTGGTTATTTTGGTGTATAATGAGTGTTATATTTGAAGGAGACAAGTCTTTAAAAGGGCTCTTTTTCCGACCCGAAATAGCCCCTTTTTCGACATATTTAGTCCTCTTATTTAAGCAACTAGGTGACACAGCTACTTGTCACCTAGCAGTCTGCGCAATCTCACAAAAATGTATATATCTCTCTACTATGATGTTGTATTGACAAACAGTTTAATGAGTTAGAATATACTCATAGATCTTCAATTTTATGAGTGTATCACCCCGTAACTCTAAGTATATTTGGAGTAAATCGCAGTGACATTTGACCTAAATTTCAATAAAACTTATAAACGTAACTTGTGATGACTTTCCTCTATTTTTGTTTCACAACTCGCTTGACCTTAAAACTTAACATATGACTAAAAATATTATAATATAAACCTCTTATCATGTTAATAACCCTAGTCTCACCCCAAAGGTACGAGTTATAACTTTCCCAACTTGTCGACTTTCAACGAAATATTATTTTCTTCAATTGCTTTAGCTTCTGAACCTTCTAACCCTCTTTGTACTTGTTATTCTTGATCTTCAATATTTGTAACCTTCGAGGTAATATGATTAACTTACTTTATATACTTTCAAATATGTTCTTATTTTTGGGCTTACATTAATTTGCTTACGACCTACTCTCACGTACGAAAACATGGGGTGTAACAACTAAATTATTTTTAAAT